CTCATGATTATGGAGGCTGACAAGTCCCAAGATCTGCAGTTGGCACACTGGAGATGCAGGAGAGCCAAGGGTGTAGTTCCAGCCCAAATGCTGGCAGGCTTGAGAACCAGGAAGAGCCAATGTTTCAGTTCAAGTCTTAAGGCAGGAAAAAAACCCATGCTCCAGTGTGAAGGCAGTTATGCTGGAGAAATTCTCTCTTATTCAAGGGAAGATCAGGCTTCTGTTCTATTCAGGCATTCAACTGATTAGACGAGTCCCGCCAAGTTAGGGAGGATAATCTGATTTACTCAGTCTAGCAATTAAAATGTTAAGCTCATCCAAAAACACCCTCACAGAAACACCCAGAATAATGTTTAACCAAATATCCTGGCACCTCATAACTCAGTCAGGTTGACACATAAATTAAACATCGCACCTACAAAAAACAAAAACAAACAAACAAACAAAAAACCAAGAGGGGAAAGGGAAACGTATAATTAGATTTAAAGAAAACTGCAGATAAAATGCTTACCAGAACTTAGAAAGATATATTCATTTCATTCTATGTTCTTTTCAAATCCATTGCATATCAGTGCTGGTGGAAACTTAAAAATCTGCTCAGCCTCTCTATATCATATATGAAAAAATTGACATGCAGAGGAGTAAAGTGATTTATTCAAGGTCACACAGCTCATTAACCATAAAGCCAGAACTAAACCCAAAACCTTAAAATTTCAATATTCTTTTTAAGGGTACACTAGTATAATTTCTTCCTTATCATCTGGATGCATGACATAAGAGCTGGATAAAGTTCAAACTAAATTTCAGAATGACATTGGTAAATGCATTCTTGATGCATGACTGTTGTATAAATGGTTATCTCTGTACAAAGTAGTGATTCTGATTCAGATCTCAAAGTACTTTGGGCATGGTTATTACTGAGCAGTGTGGTTGTTTGGATTTAATTCAAAACATGCTCTGTTGCATCCTCTCATAAGGGCTTTTGAACAAAGAAAATAAACCTTTAGCATTGCCTTTGAAAGTAAAGGGCATGATAAGGAGGTGTTTATACAGGCATGTAGCCAGAATGGACTATTCATTTTCAAGCTTTGGTCACTGAGAGAAGACATCTCTTTTAACCTAACCAGCTTAGAAAAACACTATTTTCTTCCTTCATATGTGGGCTTAAAATACTTTTTCTACATCCCCAAGTTGGGGGAGGGAGAAGTGTCTGTGTGTGTATTCATGGAAAACCAACACTTTTTATGTTTCTGAAATTCTTCAGGTTGTCAGGTAAATGTTTATATAGAGACATTCACATTTCCAGATGAGTTTTGTAAATAATAACTACGAACATGCACGAGGTTATTGATGAAAAGATGCTTTCCCTTAATGAACCACTTTCAAAATTTCCATAAAAAGAATCTCGAAATAGATCATAATGAATTCCCGTCACAAATTCTCCTAGGACAAAGTGGCACATTTTTAGAAGTGGGCTATCGAGAAATGAATCTGGCAGGGGAGGAGTGAGTGGAAGGAAGCTACAAATAAGTGAGTTTAAACACTTTGCTTTTTCTCACTTGCCTGGGTTTAAGCTGCAGCTACTGTACTTCGGTACCAAAGAAGCTGGGTTAGATATTTGCAAGTCCAGGAGGGAAGGCTGCGAGTGCCTACAGATCTAACAGCTGGAGTGTGTTGTGGTAGCTGTTTTCCTGTGCTAAGCTGGTTTACTTGTTTAAGGTCTGACCTCATCATCCTGTCAGCACGGTTTCCCACCTACACTGTTAGCTGCAGCTTTCTGCTTCAGCTAGAAGGCTAAAGTATTCACAGTGTATCATAGGCAGCGGGGGAGGGGAGAGAAAGCAAGAAAGACTGCTCTCTCTGCACTTGTGCTTTTGTTAGCCCTACAGAAGAGGCAGAGAAACAAGAGATAACAAAGGCTCCATTTCCTTTCTGTGAGAGAAGGCTTTTTTGTCTTTCCTCCTGCTACGATGTCCGTGTCAGGCAAAAAAGAGTTTGATGTGAAACAGATCCTAAGGCTACGCTGGAGGTGGTTTAGTCATCCTTCTCAAGGTTCACCCAACACTGGAAGCTGCCTTCAGCAGGAAGGATATGAGCATAGAGGGACCCCGGTTCAGGGTAGGTTGAAGAACCACTCTCGGGACAGAAACGGACTGAGGAAAAGCAACAGTCCTGTCCACCATAATATACTGGCACCAGTGCCAGGACCAGCCCCTGCCCATCAGAGAGCCCTTCAGAATTGGCACCAACAAAACCTGATAGAACATCTTCAAGCAAATGAAGATACTCTTAAAGCAGGTCCAGAAGAGAATTTATTCAAAGAGACTTGTGAAAAACGCTCACAAGATTTGGAGATGATGGCTGATGACAATATAGAAAATTCTACAGCAAGGTAGGAGTTTTTGCTCGCATGACTGAAAGCCGTAGCCTAGGTTGATATATCTTCTAAGAATCTCATTTAGTGTTTAAATACGGAGTGCTGTAATAATCTCTGGTTTTGTATTCAGCCAATCAGGGTTCTCAAGAAGCCCTTTCCTCTAAGTCTATAAAAGAAAGCAATAATAGTACATTTGTTTGGATAATTAATGGGATTATTTTTTATTTTGGATTTCGAGTTTACTTCTCCTGTTCCATTCCTATTCCACTAAGAGTTCTGTTTGCATTCTCAGAGGTGCTTATTATAATAATTAATTTTCTTTAAATATCCTTTCTGGCTTAGATGTTCAAATAATTGCGATTCTTTGTGCAAGTGTAATGAATCGTACAGAATTTTTTCTGACTTTGTGAGTTAGGCCAATTTTGACAAAATAAAAGCCCTGACTACTCGGTACATCCTTATTTGCTCCATAGTACATAGTTGCTATATTGACTCTTGAAACTATGTTGTCTTTATGTGAGGAAAGGAACAGCTTTCTTTGGCATTTTGAGTTTCATTTCAAGTTGTAATTACTTTCATAGCTAGTTTGCAAGCATAAAAATATTCCTTATAAAACAAGTAATATAATGCTATGAGATATTGAAGTACTAAGTGGAACATGTCAGCTATTTCAGGACATTAAAATGGAATAAGAAGTAATATTGTATAATTTGGGTATAGTTCATAAAATATTTGGTTTTACCTTTGAGTGGAAGAAAATTATATCTGTCCTCTAATGTTATCAGATGTGACTTAAACTAGTGGATCTTCTTTGTTTTTGCTTTTTCACTATCAGATATTTTTATAATTCCAACATGATTTAGACACAGTTGATAATCTTGGCAATGTAATTAAACTGCAGAAGTGCTATAGAAAAAGAAGTATTTTTATGTGTTTTAAATCATATGACAGTTCGACATGAAGCTATGCTAATTAATTTGGAAACCTGGATATTTGGCATACCATGTCTCTACATAAGTGTAGAGAAGTACTGGCAAATTTGCTTCTTGATATAAGTTTTTCCAATATATCTCTCTGACAGCTTCTTACTTCCATAAATCAAGACAGAATATAAAAAGAAAAAGCAGCATATCAACATTATGGCAAAAGAAAAATCGACCCTGCAAAATGATGCCTTTATAAGAACTGACTCTTGCTGAAATGTAGATATGCAAAAGACTTTGTGACATGAGAAAATAATATTAGATTGTCTGTGATATAGACTTCTTAAGAAAACAAAGCATGTATCTGTGAATTTTCCTGACTATTTTGTGATTATCCAGGGAAATGCTATGTAACTGTTTGGATTGCGAGTTGCATTAGATACAACTAATAGAACTTTCAAAGTAATATAGAGTTCATACTTTTAGATTCACTAGGTTGTCAAATTATCTCTCCTCAACATGAACAATAATTTTAAGAACTTCTAAATTTGGAGGTTAATAAATACGTTTAATTTTTTCGTAGAGAAATTTAAATTACCCACTGTGACATTCTAACAAAATTCTTTGAGGATCCGTGAATTGATTTTCCAGTATAAGAATATTTACTATAAAATAGATGCTAGAAAAAAATGCTGGATAAAATGTCAAATGTGAAGTGTCATTGAATGATATTTTTAAAAAAATTATTTCTCTTTTGATTTTATTCGTGACATTTTTCATGTTCTAAAAATATGTTTTGTTAATTATCCTATGGTTTCAGTGGAAAGTTAATATTTTCTTAAAATAAATACAATACATGGTTTTATTGGTGTGCCAAGGATATCTTAGGCAGAAATGAAGGGGTAAATTGAGAATCTTACTAATTGAAATATGATTTATTGTCCTCTCATTACTCATTCTAAATCTCCATGTCTTGATAGAGGACAGTTAGCGAAGGAGCTTTATGATGTTCTGCTTCTCTAATGCCTCTCTTCTTCAGCAATATTGGTAAGAAGGAGAAAAGCATCCCAACAAGTTGGCATAAGCCTGTCATCCCCTCAATATAACTCTAGTTTTTTTTGTTTGTTTGTTTGTTTTTTTTTTTAAGGAAACAGTAGTCAGTGTGGAGAATTATCACACTAGCACAAGATTTGCTCTGACACCTGGGGCAAAGGAAGGGCCTTTAAGCCATTATACTTCCTACAAAAATTACAGGGAATAGAGAATGGACTAAACTACAAACATGCAATATAACAGAATAAGCCACAATTAGTCTTAAAATAAATATTAAAGCCAATGTATTAAAATTATGTTATTATATTGTTTTGGGAATTTAAAAATCCAAATACATTCCTATGTAATTGAATTATAAGTATACAGTGCACTTAGGAACAGCTCTGTATCATGACCCCATGCTGTGAATATGCATATACCAGTATTATGGCTGTCTTCTGAAACCTGGGCTCAACTAACATTTTTGTTTTGTACTAGTTATCTACTAATTCTGCATCTTTGCTTCCCCAAGGACACCTTGCTCAAGTATCCTTTATTTTCTCTATTTAACCATATTTTTTCAAAAAAAGAACACATATTTTAACAGTGTATTATGATCATGCTTCCTGTATGCCTCAATATTTAGATATGAAATCATATGTATATATATTTACAATTGATCATAAATAAATGCATAAGAACACAGGTAGATGTCACCATATTAACATTATGCAACATTATGCTAAACTGCACTTGCTAAAACAAATGCAGGGATCTGTCTCCTCATTGTGCTTGAAGATAGTGAATAAAATGCAGATGATCTATTTATGGGTCAAGAACACCCCCCAGTACAAAATCAGAGGTTCACAGTGTTGCTTCGTTTTAAGAAATTGGCAGGAATTGGGATAATGCCCCTCATTCTACCAACTGGGGCTTTAGGATTTTGCATCACCTAGCAATTTTACTGATATGTGACACTGAATATCTTTTCCCAGTGTTGCACTGTTGGACAGGACTCCCAATTCCTCTCCACTTGACCCCTTTCCGATTTTCAAGTGAGGTTCGCCTAGTAAAAAGAACTACTGTCATGTATACATTGATATCCTATAGAAAGCAAGATTGGATGAGTAAGACTTAGAATTTAATAATAATTAATTCCACAAATAATGAGAATTTATTGTGTGCCAGGCACTCTTCTAGATGTTAGTGATAAAACAGCATCAAAACAGAGAATCTGTTTTCATGCAAGATGCATTCTTTTTCTTAATTTTTTAAAAAGTTTTAATTATTATGGGTACATAATAGTTGCATATTTTTTAAAGATATGTAAAAGTAAAATTTATTTTATCCTTTAGAATGGCAGAGAGAATTGAATGGGGGGAGAGAGAGAGAGAGAGAGAAGGGGTGGGGGAGAGCCGAGAAACAGTGTGGCATCCCAAAGATAGGGAAGGGAGATGCCAGCAGCTAGGCCAAGTGGCTTGCTGCTTTTATGGGGACAAAGAGAAAAATAGTTAATTGTTGTGAATTGCCATATCTGCTCCTTTTCTTTTTAACTGCAAGCAGATAATGAATCTGTTGTGTGAAACTGCTGCATCGATTCCCTTTGCTTTAGGGATAAAGTGATCTTGCCCTCACGATATGATTTTGGGCTGGGTTTGATGTCTGGAAATTGTCCCCCATACTGTCATCCAGGAACTTCTCAGGAACAACTCCAGGCTGTAGAAACAGATGCTAAAAAGGCAGTTTTAGTCAACAGGTCTAGCAACTGTTAAAAATTTACATTTCCTTTGGTCCGTTGGGCTCTTTTGAGATGTTCAGAGCTCTGCAGGGCATCTGTTAGCTAGGTGGAGAGGGAGGGAGAGAGCAGAGAAATGCAGAGAAAAAGCAGAGAACTGATATATTTCACTCACAAGACCCACTGTCCTTTCATTCCCCCTTCCTTTGGTTAAATTAAATTTCTGTTAAAAAAATGAACTCAGGAAACTGGGGATCATGGATGGAGGTCTCATTTCTTCTGTAACTGCTTCCTGCTGACTCAGGGATGATGGATGTCCCTACTTGATTGAGTTCATTTGGATCATTAAGGGGGAGGGATTGAAAACTGACAGTCTTGAAAGGTAGGTTAGAGGTGGGATGGGGGTTTTTCTGGAGAGAAATAGCTAGGGCCTGAATTTGGTTTCCTATGAATGTTACTAGATAGTGGAGAATGTAGGTTTGAGAAATTAGAGCTAAAAGCAGAGTTGCTAAGGGCATTAGCCAAGAAACCTAAGATCACACATGATGATAAGAGTTCACAGTTTTTGGAAGGCAGAGAGCCTCTTGGACTATAGGCAGATAGAGATGACACAGAACGCCCATAGTGGGGGATGGAAATTAAGATTATTACTAGGGGTCCCAGCATAGGCAAGGAATGACCGGCCTGGTATGTAAGCCGGGCTGTGGCGGCATTCATAGAGTGACAAGATAAGTATAAAGGGGAGACAAAGTAGGATAAGGAGTCATATATACCACAGTATATTATCGGAGCCTGGTATCTGTGATGGAAAAATACTTTCCAGGGAGTTCACCTTAAGTGAGAGCAGGTTCTGGAGGGCCTGTAGGTTTGAGTCCAGAAAGATGACTCTAGGACAGATGATTCTAGGACGGGATTCCCAGAAGCTTCTCTGTAGTGGTGGAAGCAGCAAGAATTATTTTAAACGGACCTTTTTAAGGTTGAAGGGGACCCAGTTTGTCCTGGGAAATCCTTGAGTAAAATTTAGTCTCTAGGCTGTAAATTTTTACAGGGTACATCTGATGTTTTGATACAGGCATACAATATGAATTAATCAAATCAAGGTAATTGGGGCATCCATCACCTCAGGCATTTATCATTTCTTTGTGTTAGGAACATTCCAATTCCAATCTTTTCATTATTTTAAAGTATACCATAACGTATTGTTGATTATAATCACTCTGTTGTGCTAACAAATATTGTTCATTCTCTCTAAATATCTAATTATATTTTTGCACACAATAACCATGCCACATAATCCCCACCTTCCTGCTACCTTCCCAACCTCT